TGCATCACGGTAAGTGGCAATGGGTCTTTAAGATTTGCAAAATCTACGCCAACGCACCAGAAGTTTTTAAAGTAATTTAAAAATAAATTTACTTTGAAGTTTCTTACCTTAAAAGCTTATCTTCCCTGTGCATGAGTTAACATTGCTGACRATGTTTTGAATGAAATATTCAATAAACAGAACATTCAGTTAAATAATATTTTTAAGTTTTTGGTTGACGTTGACGTCGTACATTTTTTTTTTAAAGCCCTGTAGGTAGGGTGTGACATAACTAAACTAATTAACAGTTATTATTCTTTTTAATTTTTTGTTTGTTTTTATTTTTGATTGATACAATAGCTTGCAACAGCAACAAAAAAATGAAGTGCAATTTTCAAACCATAAAAACCACTGAAATGGCGGGTTAATAAGGAACTGCATTTATTTCCGGCAACTCCCTATCACATCAGATAGTTTTGATGTGCATTCATTAGTACTTTTTTCAAGACCCCGTTATATATAATAGATACCCGAAAATGCCTTATTTTCCGAGTTTAACGGCAAATTTGTCATTTCTCGATTTTTTCTTTTTTTGTTACTTTTTTACCCCTTGGTTACTGAAAAAAATATATAAAAAGAATACATTTGGAGTCCAACGCGTAGAAAAAGCATCGTGGATTTTATTAAAAAGGTATATCAAGGTTCGTGGAACTCATTAAGGAAAATCCAATCGTCAAAATTCCAATTGGAATCCAGTGGAAGAAGAGCCACTGTGAAATTCCACTACTATTATTATATGTTATAACTATCATTAAAGAGACGTGCCCTGTAACATGCATCCAAGCGAAATCATTCGGAAATGTCAAGGACAACTCTATATTGAAATTTTGACATTTTAGAAAACCAAAAATATGACTACTCAGATCGTTCAATTATCTTTTTGTTCACTACCTTTTCTGTGGATTTGCACTTTAGTGGCCAACTTAGTTGCACTGTATACTGACTTGGAAATACGAACTTAAAAGCTCCATCTTATTTTCAATAATTTGAATGTATGTGTTGCTATTATTGGTTGAGATATTGGCTGTAAGTTTTTCTTAAGAGCCTGTGTCATAAAATATGCTGCGCGCTGATTGGCTGGCTACTGTGTTATTAATCGTGGCCGATCGCGCAAAATCGTCGAAAGAGGACTTTTATATAAACCCTAAACGCAGCATCGTGTATATATTGTAAATATACACTGTCAGAGCAAGAAAGAAGCAAACGTATGAACACGGATCGTAGCCTCATCGCTTCAGTGCCTTCAATATACAACTTACAACCGGCAGACGAAATATAAATCTTGTCTGATTGCGTAGTTCCTTAACAAAGAAAAGCGGTCAAAGAAGCAAAACAACCCAGGATCGGAAGACATTTTGAATTCACCCACAAAGCATTGCATCCGCCATGATCTTAGAGCCTAAAACTGTTAGAATTTTCGGATTTCTTCAAATTATTATTGCTCTTTGCATGTATGTTCTGGCCTTTGTGAAACTGGCTCTCGTTCCTTCCTGGAGTTCGATTTTTGTTGGAGGAATATGGTGCGGATCATTTGTAAGTGAGCCTAAAAGACTTGCATGAGTTTGAATGAGCGTTGTATTTTATTGAAAGTCGTAGAGCATGGAGATCATGACATGACTTTCAGTACAGCATGAAGTGAATCCATCGACAATATTAAAAGATGATTGAAAAAAAAACTCAGTTTAGTACTACATCAAATTTACTTTATTTTAGTCCACTAAATCTGAATGGGCGATTTTAATTGTATCTTTGAAAGACGTAGAGGAGACTATGTCATGATACTGAAGAGTTTGCATCACATAAACCTATATACGACAGTACTTTCATGTGCAGCAAGTGAATCCAGCGAAAATTAAACCAGTGCTGATTGAAAAAAACTCTGACTTTTATCATTGGTGGCGATCTCTGCCGAGCCATTTCGCATTTGTTTTCCTTCAATAATTTCCCTGTACCATAGTCTTAGGAATAATGGATACGGTGAGTGTTGAAGTTGTCTTTGGAAGGATATAATATAACTATTGTGTCTGATTACAGGCTATAGTCACTGGTTTTTATGGATACCGTGGAGCTCGAGAACGGACGAATGGAAACTCAAATAAATATACTGTAAGAAAGAAAGTCAAACTCCTCTAAACTCACATAATTTGATTGATTGGCAGGAAGAGCCGGAGTAGGCACTTTCTTAGAGGCCAAAATCGGTAAACATTAAATATGGCATGAGTATCGTCATTGTGAATCGTTGATGCCGACTGCCAATAAAACTATGCAGAAGAGACCCCTGCATGTGACGTCAAAGCAGCTCAATTTGGAGGACAAAACAAAAGAATTTTCATGCACTCGAATTGTTGCGCTCGTGGTTCCACTTGAGTTTGCATCATATGCTGATGCCATTCCATGTTCGATAAGAATACAGACCATAGTAAAGAGACTTCGATTTGATAAAGAGACAAATAAAAATAGTCGGCCCGTATCGCCATGGGAAAATGACTCTAGCAAACTTGAGTCATATCCAGTTAGAGTATCGTTACGTCATGTACTGATTATGTACTGTTATGTACTGTGATGTATTCTTGGTTTGCAATCAATCCCAAGAGAGCACAATAACAAAAGGGATATCCGCCATGTTGGAAGATATAACAAAAGAATTCATTGAAAAATCTTTTGTGAAATTCTTCCAACATGGCGGCTATGACGTCTATTACAAACGAAGAATTAGTGCAGTTTTTGTATGACCGTGAAAAGTTCACGGCACGAACACGGTCGTGACACAGCAAGGGATACGCCAGACCAATCACATTGCACGATAATTTACTCTCCATCCAATCAAATACCCGGAACACGGCATAAACACGGTGCGGACACGGTCACGCCAAGGTCAAGTCAATGTAAGACCAATCATATTGCGCGTGAAAAAAATCAGCCAATAAAAAATCTAGAAAGTATCACGGTCACGGCACGTCACGCTTGCGGCACTGAGCTTTTCACAGTCATAAGAAAACTGTTCTATGTACTGATTATGTCATGTACTATGTCATGTGTACTGATTAATTCTCGTGTTATGTTTAGATTGGAGCAATGATTGGTCTTGCTGTGTGCAGTGCGATTTTTTCAGGCATTGTCATGGTCTTTTATATTATGGCGTTGTCTGAATTTTCGGAAAGACTTCGATGCCCGGAAGATGATTACCCCACTCACTCTCCCTCCTCCTCGTCGTATTTTCTGTGTAGCCGTTATAATCAGAATAGAAGATGGCATGTTACCTTCTATCAAGCTGAAGTAGGTGCGGTATCTTGCTGTTTTCTGATCATAGCTGCTGGCTTTGAATTCTTTCTTGCCCTTATGACAGCCATGTATGGCTGCAATGCATGTTACATTCGGGTAAGTGAGTTTCAGCTGAATTCGTTGAAATGTTAAACCTTTTCCAAATTCGCTTGAGTGAACACAAAATAAAGTTTCCAACTCGAGGTTTGACCAACTCGAGGTTTTGAAGTTGGTTTCATGACTCCAAATGACTTTTTTTAAGCGAATCAAAAGCCAATTAAAATGCTCCGTGCAGCTAATCACAGGCGAAAAAAGCCTTTCCGGCATTTGCTCTAACCAGAGACTTTGTTTATCTTTCAAGACACGACATCGGCGAGTCTCTGACGAACGACAGGCAGTTGGTGGTTATGACAATTTCACCATTCCATATAGTAGTGTCCCTTCCAGATATGGTGCCCAGACAGTTGGTAACCAGCAGTTTATCTCCACTGGATTCAGTGACCAGGCAGCTATTGCCCAACCACAAGGTGCCCCTCCCAGATATAGTGCCCAACCACAGGACGTACCCACTGGATTCATTGCCCAGACAGCTGATACCCAATCACAGGATGTTCCCACTGCATTTAGTGCCCAGACATCTGAAAACCAACCACAGGATGTCACCACTGCATTTAGTGCCCAGACAGCTGATAACCAACCACAGGATGTCCCCACTGCATTTAGTGCCCAGCCAGCTGGTACCCTATGACAGGATATCCCCACTGGATTTAGTGCCCAGACAGCTGGTACCCAATGACAGGATATCCCCACTGGATTTAGTACCCAGCAAGCTGGTACCCAATCACAGGATGACCCCACTTCATTTAAGGCCCAGACAGCTGGTAACGGTTCGGTTATCAGGTGCTGCATACAGAGGAACAGGGACGGGCATAGAAACAAAAAAGAATAAAATATTAATTAGAGGAAATATAATAAAATAAAATAATTCTTATTGGATGATAATTATTATTTACTCCCATCTACACTTTAAGCTGGCTTTTCCTTCTTCGTAAGCCGTTGGTCCCCATACTAAGTGGCTCCTTGTTGGGCTCCCTGTGCTAGTGACCTAATGACCCCCCGGGGACCACCTTGGTTACGCAGAACGCAAACGAACGAGGTCACCTCAGAGTAAAAATCGATCGCCATCTTGTTTTCATTATCGCCATCGTCATTAAGCAGCAGCTATGGTGTACCGTCCCAGTGGCCTTCGATCTCTTGGCCTGATACAGATTTTTATAGGGGTACTGATGGTGGTGTTCGGAATTTGTGCTATGGCCGCGGTACATCACTGGAGTTCTTTTAGTGCTTGTGGGCTGTGGATCGGAACTTGGGTGCGTATATATACCACGATTATATCATCTCTATATATATAAGTTAATATACTGCCATCTATATCTAAAAGTGTATGTAAATGTTGAAGTGCCAGATAAAGTGTAAACAAGGGTAATTGTATCCTATGAAAAATATTAATATAACTCTCCATCATAGCACTCGTTTTTGAACGACGTTTTCAATTAGTGATGTAATGATGCCAAAAATAATCTTTGGCTTACTTTGCGAATGATAGCTTATGATTTACGCATAAGAACAAATGAAACTCTCAACATTTCAGATTTGTATTTGTTATCTTTTTTTTTAAATACTTTACTTACAATTTGTTTTTGGGAAATTATAATCCTTCAACATATTAGGCATTGGCTATTCGAACGGTAACCGTACGCCGACTTGCAAATTCTATTCTTACGGATATTTTCGAGACTTTTTCGAGAATTTTGGTTCTCCTCACTTAGAAACAAAATTCAAAGGCAGGCTAGATTGAACTCTTGACACCAAATGTTATTACAATGCCTAGATCCCAAACCTAACCCTGAACCTAATCACTCAGCCACGAAGTGAATTCGCTGGGATGCTGTGCGGTATTTGTCATATTTAAAACAATATCAAAATATTGAAATATCCGCACGAATAGAAATTTTAAGTCGGCGTACGGTTACCAGAAAAATAGCCACTGTGACATAGTAAAGCTATCTATTTAGTGCAATTTTATATAACGTTTGAATGGTTAAAATTATTGTAGTCAACCTACCCGCCTAACTCATCACCTGGTAGGGCAATATTGTGTTAGGTATTCAGATGTAATGTAACAAAAAAAAAGTTGTTTTTAGCACTTGTATGCTAGTTTTTATTTTTATTGGTATGTAGTATCATGCAAAGAAGTTTATAAAACAACTAGGAGAAGTCATGAATCTTATTCAAAATTTTGGTCAATTGAAACAATACCCCTAGCCTCGAGTTGCAGCTGCTATTAGTCACACAAATAGAGTGACCACAGTAAATCCGTGAAACTTTAGTAATACTAAATAGCACAATTTCATGCAAATTCCATTATTTTCTATTGTTTAACTAGCACAATTTTGTACTATTTAGTGATTAGTGTTTCACGGATTTACTGTGATCACTCTACTCTCTACACTTAATTAAAGTAGGTATATATAGTGAGCGTTGTGTGACAGACTATACTAACAGCCTCTGCCTAGGAGACTAATCATCCTTGTGTAAATGAGGCTACTGTAAGTAACAAAATATAAAGTCCTCATGCCAATCTGTGACAGCAACGTAATACATTTATTATGGACGAATCCAAGTATTTATGCATTTGTATTTGTGATAAGACTATTTGGTCTGATGATTTCAGGTCATCTTGACTGGTGTGTTTGGTTATCTTGGATCAAAGTCTGATGACAGGCCTAACACTTGTTTGGTAAGATATTCATGAAAATATTATTTTGTTGTGGTTGAAGGGATATATATATGAAAAGTTCACAAACCTGTATTTCATTTCATTTCATTTCATTTCATTTCATTTCATTTTATTTTATTTTATTTTATTTTATTTTATTTTATTTCATTTTTTTAAACTATTTTTTTATTTTAAAAATAAAAGGTTATTCAAGTTATTATTCTTTTTACACCATAAATTAAGTAACATGTATTTTAGGAACTGAAGTTTCTTAAATTATTGTTGGGGGGCCTGTACAGAGAGGCACATGCCCCTTCAACCCACCCCTCCCCCCTTCAGCAATTGCTTTGAAGTTAACCACTTTTTCTTTTCTATAAAATACCTTCTTTTCCTTGTATCGGATCAAAGTCAGCTATATGAGACTTATGACCGCCTACTCCAAAAAATTCAGAAATCCTTGTATAATAAAGCAGTTTTGACCAATCAGAGTACAGTAGTTTAGGTTTCATTAATCCGTGTCAGCAAGGTGACTACAGTGTGCATTATATAAAATGTTACATTTTTAATTCATTGTTTTGTCTTGCAGATTGGATTAATGATTGGTTTCAGTGCAACAGCCTGTGTCTTTACCGGCATCATGTTTATCATATATTGCATTGCATTGTCTGAATTTTCTCAACGAATTCGCTGCGGAGAACATGGAAAAGGGACTGACCTTGATTGCCGTCTCTATGGTTATGAGGAAAACATTTCCTATAGCTTAGCTAAAGTCGGGGCAGGAGTTGGTGCTATACTCCTCATCCTTGCTTTAGTTGAGTTCTTTGTTGCTCTCACTTCATCAGTTTATGGCTGTAATGCTAGCTGTTGTGGTACTACTACTACAGCTGGTGTTGTCCAGGTAATAATAAATTGCAATTTGGTGTAATTTTAGACTTGAATATAGAGTTTCATGCACTGTGATTGGTCTAGCAGCCAGTGATTCTGAGACAATAATCACTGCTYGAGTGGCGATCATGAGGCTTTACAAGGTTTGCCAGAGCAGCAAGAAGTAATATAATACTAAAACCTTTTTTATCCTGAATTTCATCTTTGCTCAGAATTTCAAGTCTAAAATTATACTATTAAACACAATTATTCCACTTGGGTTCAGCGATTATCATTTAATATTTACCTCACCGCTCGAAGACTTAAATATTCATTGATAATCACTTTGCCTTTGTTGAATAATTGTTAATTAAAGACTTCACCATCAAATAACATCAGGGAAATTTAATTAAAGCTGGGCCTGTTTATTGTTAATTAACTCTGTAAGAGGCAGTGGCATAGCAAGGTCTGAGCATAGGGGGCACCATATCCACAGGTTTAGTTAAACATACGTTTTGGAGATACTGTAACACCCCAGCTTGCTATGCTATTGTCTGTCTAGGAATAGACAACTTGCACTAACAGGTTACATGACCCTACCTCCCTTTAAAGGAGCAGTTTTGTCAAGATATAAAACAGAAATGAAAAGAACATCTCAGCATTAGTAGGGAGGTGGAGTCTTAGCTCAAAATAAGCAAAACAGGAGAAATGATATTAGATATGAAATTGAATGTTTTATAAGGATTTGTATGGGAAAATGTGCTGGATGGCAACAGATTACCAGTCAACATGCACTTTTCCCATACAAATCCTTGTAAAAGGTTTGATTTTATAAGTAATGTCATTTCTTTAACAGTCAATATTTCGAGCTGAAACTTCACCTCTTGCTAAATTTGAGGTGATCTTTTCATTTCTGGAGTTCATTTTGACTCATTTCCTCATTTTAAGGTGGATTGGGGTTACGTGACCTGTTAGTGCAAGTCGTCTCTTATTAAGAGTTAATCTTAAGGATTGACACTAATAATTTATGCTTTGAACAACTGGGCGCAGGCTGTTAAAAGCTGTACAACTGATATTTCTTTTTTCCATCTAGGCAAACCAGCAAGTGACTTACCTGAACCAACCAGGGCAGAATGTTACAGTCCTCAGTTCTTCACATGGTACGGTTTTACCACCTGGTAGTACTGTCCAGACATTTACTACTTATCCTGGACAGCCAATGGTCTTGCAAACTGGAAATCCACAGGTTTGAAATTTATAAAATATTATCTGCTTCTCCAGCATTCCTCCCTCCACAAACATCAACTTCTAAATTCCAATTGGAATCCAGTGGAAGAAGAGCCACTCTGTGGAATCCACTGTTAATCCGCATTGTTTAACATTTATTCGCCGAAGGCATTGTGAATATCGGGAAATATTTACTGAGACGTAAGTCTTCAAGTGGCAAGGTAAATATTCCCTGATATTCACTGAGGCTGAGGCAAATAACTGTTTCAGTATAATTACATACACAGGTGATTCTTTCAAAAAAAGAAAAAAAAAGAACACAAGAGAGATTTTTTTCTGGTTAAGCAACAAAGTGGCTGGCCGCCATTTTGGATTATCGCTGGAGGTGATTATCATATGATAGTGTGAGTTTCTCGACCAATCAGGGCGCGAGATTTTCAATAATCACCTGTGTATTTTTACTAAATTTTATTATCAAGAAGAAACCAGCCATTCCAGCTATTCTTGGATCTTGTAATGACCTAGCTCAGGACTTGATGCATCCTTATTGTGGGAGTCAGGATGGTGGCATGGTAAAATAATGACCTCTCGCATCTGAAGTCCGGGGTTTGAATTCCAGTCACCACATGTTAGCTGAGTTGGTTGCTTTTCTCTAACTCTGAGAGTTTTTTCAATTTTTCCTTCCTTCTCTGAAACTGACTACTAACTAATTCAAACTGGATAGAGCTTTGCTCCGGGATCATACATGGACTGTATATATGACGGCTGGCAGAGGTGCCTTCTCATTGCTTTCAGCTCAACCCTGTTACCTGCGCCACTACTGTACTAGTTTTTTTTACTGCCTTTAGCAATCTTTTCTGAAATAGGAAGACTGTAAATGTTTGTGTTTATACTGTAAATGTAATTTACTGATTATTGCAGATGATTCCTTCTGGTGGGGTGCAGACCTTCCAGAACAGCTACCCAGTACAGCCTGGCATACAAACTGTGCAACATGTAAGACTATGTTCATAAGTTGTATTTACCTTATGTACATGTACTTAAAAATTTGTATTTACCTAGTTCGTCTTACTAATTTTTGTGTAGAGTACTCATTTTCCCAATTTTCGCTTAAACATTTTAGTACTCTAATTGGTAACCAGTCATTTCGCCCACGGACCATTTCGCCCACGCCAATTCGCCCACGTGTAGAATCACTTTAAGAAATGTTACCATGACTAAAAAAAAGTAGTTCGTGATTTACCAACCGGTACCTACCAACCCTACTTGACGCTTAAGCTCAAGACTTCAAAACGCGAACTTTTTATACGAATACCGGTCGTTTCGCTACCACGCACTTTCACTACCGCCGGTTCGCTACCACCCGGAGTCCTTTCGCTACCATCATGAAGTCCTTTCGCTACCATAGGAAATTACCAAAACAAAACTTCGATGAGACTTGTTAAAAAGAAACATAGCCTCTTGAAAAACATTTGTAAATGATTTTGAAGCATATTTGGAGCGATCATTTCACGATACGATCATTGAAAGTAGAGATCTAAACGCGACCAAGGACAGCGTTCACTTAGCTGCCATATCGAGTCCGTTTCTACCAACTTATGAGTCGGATGACTTTATTTCCCTATTTTCCTATACTCTAATCTATGAAATGTGTGTTTTGGGTAGCTTTATCATTCTTTATTATTTTTTACTTGC